TGGGTCTGGACTTGCTCGAACTCGGTTGCAGATCTGATTCAAGGAAACATCGAGTTGCAACTTTCTCAGTCTAGTCGGGACCAAGAAGATTCAAATTCGGCCGGTCTGAAATGTGGCATGTTCCCGACTTTCCCACACCTTGGAAAGCAATCTTGCTAGTAAGTTCGCCCACTAAGTTTAACACACCGCCGGATGCATTATGTGCAACTTTCTGAGACTCCACCATCTTTGGCCTCTTTATGTGCTTCCATGTGCTCCTGGAAATAATCGTGATGTCCGAGGCAGTGTCAAATTGCAGTTTCGTTGGGATCCCATTGATCAACACACTGATAAATCGTCACCTCGGTTTACATTCGCTTTGGAATGTGACAACTATGGAGAGAGAGACTCTGCGCCATCCTTCCTAGAGTTCCCCTTTCGATAAGACTTTTTCATGTTCTTCGGCCGGACCTGACTGCAAAACTCCTCCTTATGCCCACGCTTATGGCACGTTTGACAAATATGATGTTTCAAGGGACAAAAGCGCGCGAAATGACATTCGCTGCATGACCAGCATGCTGTGGGTGGTTTGTTTGTCGGCCTCTTGAAGGGTTTGCTTCGGTTGCTGGTCCTCGCCTTTTTCACGAGTTGTACGGTATCTGGTGGTGCGAGACCATTTCGTTCGACCATGGCAGTGTCGTGCTTTAGAGTGAGCAGCCTTTTGCATTCGCTTACGAGGGCCTTCAGTGTCAGATCAGGATCCTGCTCCAGCTTCGCTAAAAGTCGCGTGCGCATCTCAGCATCACTGGGGGATTGTAGAACGCTGACGAAAATGAGACACCTATATTGATCATCCGTTTGAAACGCTCGCACTCACGGGTAATTATGTCTGCTAGGGCCCCAAAGTCGTCCGATTCCTGTTTGGCAATTTTCAGGCATTGGTAGCGAAAACTAAACAAGGATACCAACTCACCGAAAATTTCATTCAACTGCGACACCACTTCGTCAAAAGTCAGATCCTTCGGCTGTTTGGGCAGAATGTGGTCTATGAGCCTTGAATGTTCATTTGTTCCGAGCTTGCGGAGTAGCAATCGAATGAAATCCGTCCGGAAAATGCCTTCCCAGCGCTTGAACCACACTTCGAAAGTACATCCGGAATTCGCGTCATAATTGAATTCAGTGACTGCATTCGTGAGAAGACCAACAGAACTCGCCTGCATGTCCCGCGTCGTTGCTCCTGTTGTCTGCAAACTCAAACATTGTGTCAGATTTTCGATCCTTTTCATTTGTGCATCCATTTGAGATTGCCAGTGGAAAAGCAGCTTTTGATATTTTTCAGCAGAAAATTCCACCTTTCCTATTTTCCCCGCCTCCATTTGTTATAATCTTCTCCCTAGACGCGATTCCGAAGTTGACAATTTACTGCTCCACAAAACTTCTAGCCCAACCTAAGGAAAATGCAGAACGCCAGTGGCCTTGACAGAATAACGTATTAATCGACGCCAACAAACACCATACAACTACTGCCCACCTTGGCTGTATTTACAGGTCTCTTACTGACCTTCGACTCCTAGAATTGGAAGGTCAGATACCAAGCTTAATGGTTCCCCATATCTTTTGTCGAGGTGTCAGGTGGTTTGTGATCACGTGCAGAAACTAGAACAATCCGGAACGTTCGAAATCGATGCGATGCCCAAGCGCGGTTGTCGGCAGCAAAACCTACGCCGATACGGATCCAATGTTCTTTCCAGTGACGGGCACCATGCACAACCTGGAGTCCCATAAGATCGATATCCGGTTTAACTGCAACGAACCACGTTTTCATTTGTCCATCACGGCGACGACATTAACTCTGGCAAGACGAGAACGAAACTACGGCCCTAGTGGAGTCAGTGTCTGGTCTGCGGAGGACTTGACCGAATCACTGAAATCTGCGGCGTTGGATGAGCACTGGGAGCTTAGGAAGACCGTAACAGTGCTTACGGATTTCGTCATCGGTGATAGACTCATGCCACTGCGCTTTCAATATAAGCTTTTAACACCTATTTTCGAAGGCTTCTAGCTTCCGGGTGTCTTCAGATTACATGTTTTGTAACCATAGAGTAAAATGGCACCAACGATTGCTGAGAATACTTGGATTTTCGTTCTCAGACTAATTTCCGTTCTTCCCCACAACGTATTTCTCACTTGTAAGTAGGCTATTCTGTTGTTGTCAATACGATTCCGGATTTTGGATGTCGCCAGACCATTGGGGAGAACAGTGGACCTGAGGTACTTGAATTCAAGAACAGACTCGATGAGTTGCCCACTTAAGAAGAGCAGCGGAGCCGGACTGGGTGGCTGACGATGAGAAGTACTTCGTCTTGCTGATGTTTCGTGGCCGATCATGGAGGCTGATTGGTCGACCCGACAACAGTGACTGTAGTGATATAGCATATTCTTCAAGGATAGCGATATCGTCTATAAATTCTAGGTATGACAGCCAGAAGTCAGGGCTAACTTGAACACCACGATAGCCCTCAAGAGCATTATGCATAACCTAGTCGACTGCGAAGTTGAATAGCACTGGAGAAAATGGGCAACCCTGCCGGACTCTAGTATTGATGTCGAATTCTAATGGTTCTTCTCCATAGACCCGAATCCGGGCCTTCGTGCAACGTTAGTATGATCTCTCACAAGACAATCAGTAGATCTTATATCGTTACTTTCGAAAGGTGGAGCGTGCTGACGTGACCAAGTGGGTTCTAACGCCCTTCCCTGTTGACATTTTCAAACGTCCGCATACCTATGGCTGTTCAAGGGAGTTCAATCAACCAACAATGACTCAGCCTTTGGGTTGAGAACGATGTCCACTCTAGTCTGATCTGTGGTCTCTTCCTCAGCATGTTCGTACGCGCGAAACCAATAGCGAAAAAATTATATGAATGCAATTAGTTCCTTTCCTATGTATGATTCGCGGGTTTTAGTTTCGGAGGCGTGTTACACACGTCAACACATACATAGAGTATCAACTATGGGTGCAACACCATACTGTCGACCTATCTGTCTAAGAATACGAAATCCGAGCACAGCAGGTTGTTGGTGGCAGATTGATGGGTATTATTGAGGTACAACTGCAGGTGGTATAACTTCAGCCTTATTATACGTACCGTCACGCTAGGAGCTACAGAAGTAGAAACCAGTAATTAAGACCGAGGCAAGTGCAAAAGTGCTAAGAGGCATTAACGCTGGCCTCGCCCCGTTTATCTGCCTTGTTGGATGCAATAGGTAATGCGACTGTTTGGGACTCGCGCGACTAGCAGCTTAGTACGTTGGTTAGGATGTTGCCAAGGCTCCAAAATCTAGAGTCATTAGGCCCTCAACATAGATCTATGAATCAAATTCCTGACCGCAAGGAAGTTGGAATATGGCAATGGTCCAATTTTACGTAAATTGGTGCCACTTCAGTTTCGCTGCCCAACTTCCAGGACCAGAAACCGGAACACATCTGGCCAATTTGGTAGAAGTGGCTATCAAGGCACCCAGTATAGCTCAGTGAATCCAAATTCTCTGCAAACTGTCGAACCGTGTGAACATCACATTTACACATGTTTATATACGGTAGTATGCATAAAGTCTCTTCCCGCTATCAGCGGTTCTCTGTTTTATCGAGGATCACCTTGAGTATAGCGATCAAGTCAGTTCACTGCGTACCGCTTAGCATAGGCTAGTTTAAATAGTGTTCAACTGCGCTCTCATATTAGATGTTACTGTTGGTTTCTGTGCTGCAGAAATTATCTTATTTCCTAACGGGATTTTTCGTTCTCTGTTCCTCAGCTTCGTTGTTCTCGCGGAAACCAACCCCTCCAGGCTGGATCAACTACCGACGATTTGCATTTTACCTCCACTTAGCCTTCTTCAACTTCAGTCGTTGTTTTCTATGGTGGTTTGTCGTACCCTCCCGGGGCTTTTCTCCCTGCTTCCTTTCCTTTCCATGGCGATCTCGTTTTGCGACTTTTCTAAGACTGCAGTACAGTCCGCATTCGGCGCCCCTGGTACGCTTCGTTCTGTACGTGCTTTTGCGGGTCCCTTGCTGTCACCTGATGTAAGTCCTTCCTGAATCTGGCATTGTTCTAACGTTGCATTATTTTTTCCAATCCAAAGATTTCGTGATTAGGCGATGTATTGGCATGTAGTAGACATCCCACACTGTACTTAATTATAAACTGTTATCTAGCTGAACACACCCATTCCAGTACGACCACTTCCGTGGTTCGGAACGACCTGCCGGCATCGCACGTAGCGACACACCGGGATCCATGATGACAGTGAAATGTTCATACTGTGGTTTGAAAACATGAAGAGAAGCTCACGGATACGCGAAGCTGTTGTGGCTTCTACTTGGGTGAACCAGTATGTAAGAAACACCGATGGTGATGGCTTCGACTTTGTTGTCCACAAGTGTTTTGTCTATTTGAGAACAACAATCTGAGTGGCAGAACAAATCTTAGGGTTGATCAAATTGTCGGAGAGATAAAATGCACATTGCCATGTCCCATTCCACATCCTGGCGGAGAAGAAAAAGAGTAAGAAAAACAATAGGGTCTTAGCATCGAGTCTCTAAGCTCCATCGCTTTAGCAAATATGTATATGAAGGATTCCGAGAATGTGTTAAAAAGCTGCAGTGATTTTTTTGAAAATATGATAGCACTACGCAAAATAGTATTGCTTAATTATGCAAAGAAATGAAAAGAAATCTCTGAACACTTAGAATCTGCTGGCGCAGCGATAAGCTGTGGAGTTGTGTTGTGCTGCCTTACTGTCCATGGGAACGGAGAAACGCTGAAAAGAACCACATATTGCAAACCAAAAGCCTATTGAGACACTCAGGTCACTTAGAACAAGCTTATGTGAGAACCGATTTATCTCTTTTCCAGAGCGAAAGCAGGACAGTCACCCAAAGGGAAACGCACTTGATAGCAATTTGCGAAAATTTAGTTGTGGGTATCTCTTAATCCATATTTAAGATCGGTTACTGAGTGGAAAACGACAGTACGAATCCCGTGTGGAGGAACCTTTGAGGCGATCTGATGAGCCCTGGCATAAAAAGGATAATTGTATAATTCTCCTAAAAAGCCAGACGCCACCACTAATGTTTGTGCATTGGAATTATTCATCTCACCTGAGAGTGTATGCGAGACATAGCGTCTTTTCAAGCAGTATGAAAATATTGACCATCTCAGGAGCTGGTTAGTAGCAACATCACAAAGACTACTCGCTGAGGCGGTGAAATCATCGGAGCCATCAATCACGTGTAATTATGAAGCTATCGACAACGTGACAAACAGTCTAAATCAGGCCACTCTGATGACTACCGCCGAGATGTTACTTGTTAGTGCAAGTCGCCTGATCATTTCTTTCCTGTGTACCAATCAGTGCGACAGTTACCCTGAGGCGTACTCCTCTGCTGCGATTTTTCTTAAGCGTCTATTTAGTCTCAGATCAGGTGTGTGCTCGTTCATTTGGCTTGACGAATTTTTAAGCGCAAATCGGAACACTGCCCACCAATTACGCTCGCCAATCGCTATTAAGCCATTCTGAAACCACTACTTCACCATCGGTTCCAAGTGTATTTCAAGTTATCGAATCAGAATCACTTTTGTTGAACTATGATTTCTTCGTCAGTCATTTGAGTGATACGTATTGTGCCATCTTTCATCCCCAGCAGCTTCAGATTTCTATCTACATTAGACTGGTTCATGCAGTAAATTTACTTCGGTTTTAGTTTCCACCGAATATCACTGGCTTTCGTTTCACATCGGTGTCCATCTATAGCAACCGAAGTAATTCAGGAAACCCATACCAGTCTTTTCTTTCCGCTTGCCAGCACAAATAATCCACTTATCGACAACATGGATTACTGAATAAAGTCAGCAGTACGTAGTACCGACGCTTCGTTGCCCTGCAACTATCAGCAGTCGCGCTTGAGGTACGAGGGCAGCTGGTGACTGCATACATTCCTTCAAATATGTACGGATGGTACTGCTTCTTTCGAACAATGAGTCTCAACACACGTTTTCCTCTCAGTTGAGATGTCTTGCCTATATCACCGTTCCTGCGAGAATGATCCTTGTCAACTTGGGGGTGCAGGATGCTTCATCACACTCACCAAACGAATCAGTCGACTAAAATGAATTGGTTTTTTAACGGTTTTTAGATTTAACTTTGAAACCCAATGCACACACTCTAAACCGAAGTACCCATCTCCGATATATGCGTTTTTTCACCATAGGCACATTCTTTTCGGTCCAAGTGGCTAAAGGTTAACTCCTCGTCCTCCTACAAAGAATTCGCCTCAGTCCGTCTTAGCGACCCAGACAAGGGTTACGAGCGACAAGGAAGGTAAGTTTTGTGTTTCTAAATTTATTTTCTCATAGCCTCTGGGTTGCAGCCTTATACGACCTAGTAAAATTACTGCCAATGTATCGAAATTTGGTCCACCCTTTTGATTTTTGCCTTTCTTGTTTCCATTTATCGATGTACAATGCATCACAACGTGTTTGAACTCCAACCTAGTGCGGTGGTTTGAGCTTCCCTCCGCTCCGTTGAACTATACCGAGCGTGCTTTTGTATTAATTGAAAGCAACTTCCATCAGATCGGCCAGAGGAGTTCAATATGCTTATCCTCCAGGTAGTGGGTTAGAACTAAAGTTGCACATGTGACCCGTACTTTGTCTTAACCACTCTTTGTGTCTTCCATCAACTATAAGAGATGACGCTCCCATTATCGTAAGACGCTTGAAGTACGGCCACTAGTGCCAACCCATCAACTGACGTTACTTTGTTTGAAAGTTTCCTTTATGTGTGCTTGCCAGTCTGAAAATGACATCGTCATTGAATGGGATATATCATTCACTCGTCCGACGACAATCTACGACGGCGTTCGTCTTGTTTGCGGACAGTAATTTTGAAAGAGGCAAGGGCCTATATGGTAAATTGAAGGTTGTTGAATGATACACTCCTCGGGATCCATTACGCTTGAATATCACTTTGGAGAGATATGACTGTGATATAGGCGGGTCATTTTCCTCAATCTTTCTATTCTCCCGTGTAATGCTTCTAACTTTCTGAACATCTCACTGCTGTTTATGACTGAAAAGTGTTCATCTTATGGTCCATTGTCTAATGCTTTTTAGTCTGGCTTTTAAATCGTAGGATTCGGTTGATAGTTGTAGTCGTTTCTCCTATAAATCTGGGTGCCCTAGCAAATCCCGAGCTCACACGCAACCATGACCACAAAGTACTTCTGTTGCCGATAATGACAGCAATACAGCTCGAACTAGTTGAATGAAGTTTGCATATGGTGGCTAAGCATGCCATGTAGAAATCGGTATATTCCTCTGTCAGCGTTTCCACATGATTCGATTACGTTCTCGGATGTCTATGTTGTTAATTTTCTCCGTGCTTTTATCTTCTTTCACCAAGATTTATTGCACGCGTGTTTGGAACCCAATGGTTCGAGTACTGGGACTTTTTGGACGATTATTTGGATCTCTCTTCTGAACACGGACTCTCGGTGTTGGATGAGCGGTTGAGAAAAGATATGTCACCCGGAAACAAGCTTTGGTGCTGCTTGGAACAGGACAACGCAAAATGCCTTCGTGATGTCGATTCACGTACGGTCCTGAAATTCGAGACCGCTTCTCCCAGCACACCAATCTCTCGTCAAGTTGTTCATCTTCCTGACAATACTAATTCTCAGTGGCACACCTACAGATCACATCCTATCTGTGCAACTTTGCTAGATGATAGTCTAGATGCTAGTGGAGATACTCCGTCTCCACGAGCACTTTCGGACGAGTACGTTTACTAGGTACAGCTGTGCTACGGCAATGTTACTCTAAAAAATAGTTTTGAGCTGCCTATGCGTCATTCGCACTAGGAGCACTGACGCTGAATCTGTCGCAATTGCTACCATATCAGCCAGATAGTGGATGCCCGCGTTTGCACCATGTTCGCGATGTAGCCCACAGATTAAACGCACATTTACTTCACTAAGCTGCCTAAGCACAATTTAGTGGTCAGTAAATGTTCACGCGTATACACGGCAGTTGCAACTCAACACATTGATTCTGCGTCTGACGTGGCACTTGATGCTTAGAACCACACATGTACGAATGAACGAGTCCTTTCGCATGCTTGACGTTTATTTTCACACAGCCTTCGAACCAATGTCAACCCCAAAAATTTGTTCCATTATGTAAAGCGACATGACCTAGTCACTCCCGTATAGTCTGATATTTTTTCTCCAATTTTATATAGATGATGTGCATATTATTAGTGTGTCTGTTGTCTCCGAGATAATCGTGCCTCAAATCCACCTGCCCCCAGATCTTGTAGTCGGGTTTACGCTGAGGACGATAGAGGGGGCCGTAGTTAGTGCCGCGTAATTTGCGCGTGATCACTATCCAGTTGCGTGCAGTAGCTGCTCAAGGTCACAGTAACAAGCAAGTTCGAGAATAGATCCCGACAACCACTGCTTTTGCTTACTATCGGGTGACGGCGTTGGCGCAATTATCGGCAGATATCAACGATACATATTGTCATTAGGGCGCGCACTTTTGTTGGGTGATACATTTCACGGGGTTAATAGGTGTTTTCGCGATGCCAACGAGTTAGTGTAGGAGGTCATCCATTTACGCTTTTGTCGTCCTCTGTATTTGTGGATATACGATGCCGCGGATTTGTCTCGAAGAGTATCGGTTGTCTTAGATGATGGGCAGGAACCCCGCCTTAGACATCACTAAACCTACACAATAAATTCACTCAAGATGCTATTATGTAAACAGTGGCCCTCAGTGAAGCATTAGCGATAAGGACGAGTCATCCGGTGTTGTATGCACGAAAACATTTCATACAGTCGGTACGATTAACTTGACCGTGAATGCGCAATCCTCACTAGTCACCGCTGAAGCACATCGTTTACTGAACTACCACGTATTTAACTGCATATTTTCTGTACATGTGCCACGTTACAACTAGCGAGACCAATCGCCACCTTCTCTTTGCGCCATAAAAATTTTAAGCATGCTTTTGATAAAGTTATACTTTTCCTTCCTTCTCAACAGTGAAGTGCGAGTTGCGCAGAATGAAGTTACAGAGACAACGAATACTTTGAGTCCGCTTCTCGGTTTGCTACGGAAGTTGACTTTTGCAAGTCCACTTCGGTGGTTGTTGGTCGACGGACCGGGAAACAGCGAGCCTATTTTCGACCCACAGTCTGCGTTACCGCCTCACAAGAAACCGGTAAAAATGTCAACGCCTGTGATTGATGCCACAAGGCATTCGGGCAAACGAAGGTTGTCCGCTGTCGACCGAAATCAACCGCCTCTCGAACATACCGAACAGCCTGCGGTCAAAAAGTCCTCACCAAGCGGGAAGGCATCCATCCGAAAAAGTTGTTTCGTCCCACCCTTGCTAAAGCACATTTATCGAGCACTTCCTTCTGGGGACCCGGAACTTGAAAAAGCTGTCATGGCTGTTAGCTCAAATAAACATGACGGTGACAGTGTTTCTTTGTTCTCCGAATCGCAAATTGGATGCTTCCACTACGCTAACTTGTCCAACTTTCGTACAGTGGTTGCTTGGAGAGAAAGAATGGAGGCATTCATACATTTTCCCCGGAGGCATATGTAACCAAATCAAGTGACTATCAGTGCTTCCTCCTATATCCACCGCTTGCCAACCAGGCCCATTGATACCGAACGTGATACGCGTACTCCTTACACTTTTGGGCCTTGAGAACAGCACAATTTTCACTGCTGATCGAAGAAAGAAATCCTTTTGCCCATTAACCAGATGCACATATGCCATTTGTCTTATTCTCAGTAATTCCACAACACATGTCTTCATTCTTTCCTCACGCATTCGTATTCCGACATGTTCAGAATATACTAACCCACCTAGGGCCACTACGAAGCGCCACGATTGTGTATCGATCAGGGCACCATTAAATAGGTTATTACCGATTAATATGAAGATTGGGAAAATACATTCAATCTGCGTTTTGCGCAGCACAGTGCGCGTACGACGAGGGAAAAATCGTGCTGACTGTATGTACGAAGGCACCTTCGATAGATGAGGCAGTGCGAATTTCCTGAGGGATGTAGATGGTGTCCCTGGATGCACCAAGGGACAAGATATCGTGTTGACGAGGAACATCAGATTGATCTAGAGCGTCAAGTTTGACTACGCTCGGGTACCAACCCTTATCATAGTCATATTCCTTCAAATGTCGAGCTGAACTGCAAAGTAATGTATATTAACGCTATCAGTCAAGTCAAGAATGCGCTTTTCTGCACTCGTGACGGGCAAATTTTCATCGTTGACGCGTGCTGTCCGCTTGACAAAAAAGCGACAGAACAAACAGCAAAAAGGCTCAATAAAACAACCTAAACTTACATAGAATTTACTGAAAAGTTTCTGAATACTGGCCTTTTGGTCAAAAAGAAATCTAGCTAAGTAGAGAATGGCTGACGAACCATATGCTTTCGTGCAGGCGTATATTGCCCTGCACTCTTGTCCGGTCGACCAGGAAGATACGCAATTGGAATGTGCAGTGTGAAGACGGTGGCTAATATCAGTTTAGTGCATGGATTTTCGTGCATTGATACTATTGTTTTTGTCAAAGTTGGCTTTGGAATACCACTGCAGTGGGACAAGTGTTACAGTGACCTGTCGAGCGGCTTGAAATGTTTACACAGTAGGCCCAGAGAAATTACAGAACAAGTCCAGTGTGCTCGAATGCACGCATTGATGAACTTCAGAATCAGATCGCATAGTACACAAGATGATCGCAATAGAACGATATGAAACGAAAGTCGTCTGACTTTTGTGAATATTTGATTCATTTGGTGTGACCATGGCAAATCGTGGCCCATTGTAACTCCAACATACTTCACTGACGTATATAAGCTCAAGCTATCACCTTCAATCTGAAGTTTAGGACATTTCGTGACAAGTTCTTGGTAACAGGCTGTTTTATAAAATGAAAACATAATGCCATTACACTTGGACGCGTTCAGCGTCAAGCAACAGGAGTTTGACCATTGCACTAATTCGTCTAAACGACTGCAGCTTAGCTGAGGAGGGCGAGGCTTGATGGTTCACGCTAATGATAACGTCGTCTGTATATTTTGACAGAATGGTTTCTTTTGGGACAAACAGAGCCAGCGTAAGTAGCGAAAAAGAATGGTGCTCCTTGAAGGACACCAGATGCAAGTGGTGAGAAGCTTGTACCGCCAAACTTGGTGACCCGAGTACGTTTGGCGAAATAATCCTTTGGCAAAAATGCTAGGGAAGGTTGAGTACAATAGTCTAGATTTTGCAAAAGCAATTTACGGTTAACACAACTGAAAGCATTACTGTGGTCGAGGAAGCAAACATGTGTGGCTTTGCTCTTACTGTCTAGCGACGACAAGACTGAATGCATTAGACAAGCCACCGCATCTTGTGTGGATCTTGAACTTCTGTACGCAAACTGAAATATGCCTTTTAAACGGGAATGATTTTCTCAACGACCTTCAAAGCCACCGAAGTGGATGCGATAGGCCGATATGTATCTGTCCACTTTTTCGGTATTGGCGTTATGCTGGCAAATCATCCAACCGTCCACGATTTTTCCTTGTTTTAAGCTCGGCCAGAGGCCAAGCTAAGGAAGCGGCACACTTCTTCGGGACGACGGGAGACAACCTGTCAAGTCTGCATGCCTTGCCTGAGTGCAGCTGGGTTAACTACTTTTGCAGTGATACGACGTTGACAGCACGCCGTGAGTCCGTAGACTACTGAAACAGTGCAGCTAAGGAGTCAGAACGAATCACTGCCAATGTAACAGAAGTTACGATTTAGTTCCTCTGCATCTACGTCAGAATTCGTGCTCTGACGGGTGACTCCGCTAAGCTGTTTCATCATTCGGCAAATCTCACGACAACTATTGTTTCCCAGAATTGTCTTTACATAGATATGAGTGAACTGGCGAACTTCTTTACATAAACGGGAAGGGATCCCACGATCTTTGCTTTTGAAAGCTTGATCACAGTATATTGATACATGTGTGTCAAAATACAAACTGAACTCTGGAAGCAACCATTTCTCTAAACCGTGCTATTTTTGAAGGGAGAAATCGTCTCCATTTCCGTATGCGGTCATTGCAGCTGGTGGCAACCTTGTGATTTGTTTAACTGTAGGTAAAAGTGGTTAACCTTGCCGACTGCACTTAGCAGATCGAGATGTTGGTTCGCAGAAGAGGAGTGATACTTGCCTCTTAGCAGTTATTTATAGACCTCCAAACTCATCAGCAGACAGCAATAACATTCTGTTAAACGCCCTCCGCTATGCTGTTCCACAAAAGTACTCTCACTATCTTATAATGGGTGACTTTGATGTTCCTTCAATAGCATCAATGTCCCCCAATGGGTCATCGTTTAAATCGAAACTCCTCGAATTCATGGATATGGCAGTTTTGTATAATCATGTGCATCGACCAATCAGACATCGCGGTTCAAACAGGCCATCACTCCTGGACTTAATCCTCACTAATGAAGAGTTGATGGTTGAGTCAGTAGCATACGATCCTCCACTGCGCCGTAGCGACCATTCAGTCCTAACATTTGGTTATGTATGTTATGCCAGTATTGTTGCTAAAGAAAGAGAGACTCAACACACTATTACGGACTATTATAAGCTGCGCAGCTTAGCAGCAACCGTTGACTGGGACCTACAGACGCACAGCTCAGCAAATGACGCGTGGAATGAATTGAAAGACAAAATTAACTGGGTCATACAATCAGCATCGAAGGTTGTACCATTACGAGCATCGCGCCGGACCTATACGTGGATCCGGAGCAGAACACGTAAAAGGATCAACAGAAGAGATGAAATCTGGAGGCAACATTTGCTAAGCCCATGTGATATCACATGGCAGGATTACAAAGTCATCAGAAACTACTGCACGTCACTCATTAGAGTCGATAAGTACGAATGGCAGGAGAATATGGTGCTGAAATTTACGAGTAACACCAAACTGCTATACAGATTTGTGAATGGCAAAAGAAAGGTTAAGCCCGGAATGCCACCACTCAGGACGGCCAGTGGCCGAACAACTACTGCTGTGGATGCCGCGAACGCTCTACTCTTGCAGTTTGGCTCGGTAGCTACAAATGTCATGGAACCTTCGCCCTATCAACTCCCAACCAATGTCGTTGGCTTATCCAGCGTCACCTTTACTCCAGCAGCTGTTGCAAGCAAACTACAGTCTCTCCGGGAGTGCAGTGCCCATGGAATCGACATGATCTGCCCAAAAGTACTAAGAACCCTTGCTACCACCATGGCAGCACCACTTGCAACCTTTTTCCAGGGTCTGTTAACTCCCATACACTCCCATCTGAGTGGAAAAATGGAATTATCACTCCAATATATAAAGGAGGTAAGCGCTCGGATTCTGCTAACTACCGACCTATTACTCTCCTTCCTGTTTTATCAAAAGTGATGGAATCGGTAATCGCAGATGTACTGACGCGATACTTTGAAAGTCAACAGATAATTTCTAATGCCCAACATGGTTTCCGACGCAGACGATCTTGTCTCACCAATTTGCTGATTACTCGGGACTTATGGACCAGAGCGGCTGATGAAGGAGTCCCCATAGATGTGATATACCTGGATTTTTCTAAAGCATTCGACAGGGTCAATCACTTCTTTCTCCTCCAAAAGCTTGCTGCCTAGGGTATCAGCGGTTCCCTGCTCACCTGGTTGGAAGACTACTTACAAGACAGAGCAATCAAGGTAAGAGTAGCCGACACCTATTCTGAAAGCCTTTACGTCTCCAGTGGTGTACCACAAGGATCCGTCCTCGGGCCGCTACTGTTTTTAGTCTACATTAATGACCTTCCAGCAGACATTCTATCTCCAATCCAAATATTTGCAGACGATGCTAAAATATGGAGAGCAATTCGCTCAGCATCCGACCGTGTCTACCTCCAGGAACATCTGACCCGGATTAACAAATGGGTAGAAAAGAACCAGCTCCCACTGAACCCTGCAAAGTGCCACCTGCTGACGGTGCACAACAGCTTCGTCCACACATACCTTTTGGGGCAACACGTGACTAGTGAACGCGACTTAGGTATAATCGTGCAAGAGTCTTGGAAATTCGTTCGAAAGCAGCAAGTGTGGCGAACTTGAAATCGAGACTTTTGAGGCGAGCTCTCGGCACTTTTGAGCGGCGGCTAGTACCATTGTTGATTAACTCCTACATTCGTCCTCATGTTGAATATGCAATTCAGGCCTGGTGTCCATGGTTAAAACGAGACATCCGCCTCTTGGAACAGCACCAAAGAAGAGCCACAAAAGCAACGCGTGGACTATCCGGTATAAGTTACGAACAGCGTCTTCGTGTACTCGGTGTGTTCTCATTAGAATACCGACGGCTTCGCGGAGATCTTACTCTCACATACCGGATATTAACCGAAAGCGAGCATCCATGTACATCACTGTTGACTCTAGCCCCATACAAACAAAACCGAGGCAACCACCTGAAACTAATGACGCAACACTCTCGTTTGAATTGTAGAAAATATTTTTTCTCACTTAGAATCTGTTCTCACTGGAATGCATTACCAAACTATGTGGTGAACGCACCAGACATGACGACATTCGAAAGACTCTTAGATTTTCATCCTAGTGATAAACGATACACAACACTTTGCTAAAATGCAAT